TAGACATCTACAACGTAAATGCGCCACTCACCTTGAGATATAAGTTCTAAGGTATCAGTATAGTTACAACGGCTGCCCCACCCTTCAAACCGAAACGCATTACTGCTTCACGGCAGAAATAGGCAGGGCGGTGGTACCTACCCATGCGGACTCACAAGAGGCAAATTATAATTTTGCGGGTTTGATTTTTTTGGTTGTCCATAGGTACGCTCGCGTTGGAAACTTTAGCTGTAGTTGGAAAGGAAATAATATAAATAAAAATGTATTTGTTTTTTAAATTCGTGTTTCTCTATTTAAAGCAAACGACAGCAGACCGAGGACCGCAGTAGTTCTGTTTAAAATTTTGATCCCCTAAATGTTCTCACAACTCAGCTGTTACTAACCACTCAGTACTGAATCCATAGAGGTAATAACGCAAGACTGAATTTTATTATCATAGTACTACGGCTGCTCGCCCTTCGAACCAGAACGCACCATTGCTGCACGGGAACATCTGATTACTTGGGCCAATAACAGGTCGCGACATAGAGAGAAGTCGTCGTGGCCTAAAGGATAAGACGTCCGGTGCATTCGTGTTGAAGCGATGCACCGGTGTTCGAATCCCAATACGTACTCAACAAATGTTCACGATTGACTTCCACGGTGAAGGAATAACATCGTGTAATAAAAACCAAACCCGCAAAATAGTAATTTGCGTAATCACTGGTGGTAGGATCTCTTGTGAGTCCGCACGGGTAGGTACCACCACCCCGCCTATTTCCGCCGTGAAGCAGTAATGCGTTTCGGTTCGAAGGGTGGGGTAGCCGTTGTAGCTATACTGAGACCTTAGAACTTATATCTCGAGGTAGGTGGCGCATTTACGTTGTAGATGTCTATGGGCTCCAGTAACCACTTAACACCAGGTGGGCTGTGAGCTCGTCCATCCATCTAAGCAATAAAAATAAAAAAAAGATGTAAGCGCTTATTATGCATAGTAAATACACAAAAATGCTCCTCAATTTAACTACACGATGCTGTTACAAAATGATGACACGAGTCGCAAGGCTGGGCGTACCCCTGGTGGCTGAAGTCACCGTCTGACTGCAGGTGGGAGGCGGCACCGCAACCACTAAACTTTCATTTGGATAATGTAGAAGCCGTCTCTGACGAATGGAGTTCGCCTGTTTAATGTTCCAAGCCTTTTAGCGGAGGTTGTTACTTGTTCTGTTATTATGTGGAGCTATTTTCATTCACTGGAAAATACTATTATTGCTCTTCATGGGTAGATTTGGTCATTCCGATTGCTGACGCCCACTTTGACGCATCACTACATAGTATAAAACAAAGTCGCTTTCTTTGTCCCTATATCCCTATGTATGCTTAAATATTTAAAACAACGCAACGGATTTTGATGCGGTTTTTTTTAATACATAGAGTGATTGAAGAGGAAGGTTTATATGTATAATAACATCCATTAAATAGTGGAGAAATCAATAATAAGTTACAGTTTCCGAAGCGAAGTGAGGGCGGGTCGCTAGTATATAATAAGCCCTTGAGAAACAAACTGGTACGTGCCCTTAAATACGCAGGGATGTGAAGGTAGCGGATATAATTGAGGCTTCGTTGTCATGTCACAAGGCGGAAGGTGCCATTCAGTTTATAATGCATATTAAGTATATATGCACTCTGCCAATCTATGTACATACGAGTACATATGTATAAATGTAGAGTGAGTCGCGGACGGGGTCTCCGTTACGAGCATTTAAAAAAAGTGTGTCAGACTTGATCTCATGAACACGATCCACTGATGTATCCATTTCAAAATATATATTGTAACATAAGGAAGAAGTCTGCCTACCCCACATCGCCACATCCCGTCAAGAATAACTCCTGACAATAAATCTATATAAGGGTCGCCACCCCATCTATCATTATAAAGCAAATAATACTTAAAAGTTTAAAATGAAAAAAAAAAATGGTGAATCAAACATCTGCTCTCTATTTGTAGTTTGACGTCTATCGGTTGCGCGTTTCCATTGTACGGGAACGGGCCGACTTATTATATTTATAACTTGTGACAAAAATATATTTAATGTAAGTAATTTGAAAATTTCAAATCCCATTTAATTATAAGGAATCGCTGCTCCGATCGTGCTACATGATCAACTTACACAATAATATGTACATCACTACATAGTATAAAACAAAGTCACTCTCTCAGTCCCTATATCCCTATGTATGCTTAAATCTTTAAAACAACGCAACAGATTTTGATGCGGTTTTTTTTTAATAGACAGAGTGATTGAAGAGGAAGGTTTATATGTATAATAACATCCATTAAATAGTGGAGAAATCAATAATGAATTACAGTTTCCGAAGCGAAGCGAGGGCGGGTCGCTAGTACACACATAAAGAGTTCTGTTTTTACATCCATTATAATGTTAATATGTTTATTCATACACAATTAAATGATTAGTATCAAAGAGGTACCGGGAGCTCCTGAGAGTGGTTGGAGATTTGGTTGCAGGCCGGGAGGAGCGGCGCGCCTTCTCGCTCTGAATTCCACTCAACTTATTATTACCAATAAAATTATTATAATCGCACCTACAGTGTGAATTGGCAGGTGCATACGTCTGTTTTCAGTATATAAAAAAAAAACTAAATATTGGAGTGTTTATGGTTAACAGAATCTTGACAGATTTATTGATTTTGGTTTTTTGTGCGTGAATGGAAAGGTGGCTATCATAACGACGTCCACTTCAAACCGGACTTGAGGTCGAAATTCCAATTGTATTTGTAATAACGTCTGTTTTGGAGACGCATGTCCACTTGGCGGCAACAATATGCAGGCCGGAGGTACCGGGCCGTGCGGGTTCCCACCGCGTCTTTTGAACAGTAATTACATAAATTCCTTTAACGCGAAATTCCTTTCTGAACTGTTAACTATGTAATTGTTATGAAAACTTAGTATAGTATCGAGGATCGTTAATATATCCAAGAAATTGTCATTAATACTATTGATTGATTGGCATTTGAATAGTTCGGCCAGGTGATGATGTTTTTTTCTTTGTGTTGAGTGCCATTTTTTTATAGTTTTGATGGGTAGACAAGGTCACAGCCCACCTGGTGTTAAGTGGTTAATGGAGCCCATAGACATCTACAACGTAAATGCGCCACCCATCTTGAGATATAAGTTCTACAGTCTCAAGTATAGTTACAACGGCTGCCCCACCCTTCAAACCGAAACGCATTACTGCTTCACGGCAGAAATAGGCAGGGTGGTGGTACCTAACCGCGCGGACTCACCAGAGGTCCTACCACCAGTAGAATTAAGAATGATATCGTACGAATGAAACAGTTTCAAACAAAAATATCGTCCGATTATTCTCGTGTCGTCTGTGCTAATGGTCACGATATCTGCATCGCTCGATGCGGGCTGTCGGATGCTACCGATGTTTATTTACGTGTCTATAGGTCAGGATGTGACTCCGATTTTGTTGATCATTGATCAGTCGTGGTGACGTGTCTGGTGTGGTCTGAGGAGTTGACCGGTACCACGCATACAGATATATTCCCGTTACCGCGAACACTGAAGCAGACGATGAATCCCTAATTAACTTATATGTTAAATGAACGCTAAGTTTTTTTTGTTATTATTGCTCTTTTTTATTTATTGCTTAGATGGGTGTACGAGCTCACAGCCCACCCGGTGTTAACTGGTTACTGGAGCCCATAGACATCAACAACGTAAATGCACGACCCACCTTGAGATATAAGTTCTAAGGTCTCAGTATAGTTACAACGGCTGCCCCACCTTTCAAACCGAAACGCATTACTGCTTCACGACAGAAATAGGCAGGGTGGTGGTACCTACCCGCGTGGACTCAGAAGAGGTCCTACCACCAGTAATTATAATTTTTGCGGGTTTGATTTTTATTACACGATGTTATTCCTTCACCGAAGTCAATCGTGAACATTTGTTGAGTATGTATCTCAACATGAATGCGCCGGACGTCTTATCTTTTAGGCCACGACGACTTCAAACTGCCCTTGTAGGCAGACAAGCATACGGCCCACCTCATGGTGAGTGGTGACCGTCGCCCATGGACTTTAGTAATGCAAGGGGCAGAGCCAAGCCACTGCCAACCGTTGCGTAAGTGAAATCGTGTCACCACACTGCCTGTCACCGACCCCCTTGAGACATGAGGCCGAAGTTTCAAGCTTATTGTATGTTTATAGCGATTATCCAACCCTTTAGAGCGATACGCATGTATGCCTCGCTCCAGAAATAGGCACGGCATATGTTATACATACTATATACAAATAGACATACATTGGATCACGACTATCCTTCCCTTCACACCCGATCGTTGACAGTTTCATCAACAGCAAACAGTTACCAGCTCAACATCCACCATATAACACTTTTAGCCAATAAAACAATGAGCTCGTCACTTGGTGGTATCACCCGGGCCTCGAGATCGCAGGCACGAGACTGATGCTAGTGGTTTCAAGTTTTTAATACGCTTTTATAAGCTTCAGACGTATGTAGGTATGTTAGTATGTAACGGAATATTTGAACATGGTTTTGACCCCGGATTTGTCTGATTAACTCGAAATTTGGCATACTTATTATGGATCAATGACAATTCAATATTAAAAAAATATATTGAAATAATTGAAATTCAACTAAATAATGAAAAATAAATAATAGTTTCAAAAAACTACAAAAAAATACGCTTTTATCGAAAATCCAACTAAAAAGTAGAAAATAAATTTGAATGAATAATAGTGTAAGAAAAAATGATTTAATGAAAAAAATAATTTCTTACACTATTTTTAATTCAAAATTATTAAAATTTATTTTCTATAAAAGCGTATTTTTTTTGTTTTTTTAAACTATTCTTTATTTTAAGTCATGTTTCACGTGACATCTGTTCAGGAGCTCTCACGACTTCCTAACATATTTACTTTGACAATTCAATGACATGTTAGTTACCCGGGTACTTGTTTAATTCCAGGAGGAGAAGAGGATCCCGGAGTGAGGTTCACGACGGAGCCAAGCGACGCAGTGGTCCTTCCCGGTGAAGATGCGTTGCTTCTCTGCGCGGCTGCTTCCAAGCTGCCCGTGCGTCTGGCGTGGCGGTACAGCGCCAGTTCCCTGCCCACCAGAGACCACGGCGTCTCTATTAGCGATAAGTCCAGGTGCGTCAAATATCGAAATCATCTAAATATAACGACGCACATCGTGTCCTTAACTAGCTTTCATATATTCAATTTTTTATTCAGTTATTGACTATTCGGGTTACTTCGGATTTCTTATCTCTATATATAAAAATGAATTCCTGTTCGTTAGTCTCGCTAAAACTAGAGAACGGCTGGACCGATTGGGCTAATTTTGGTCTTGAATTATTTGTGGAAGTCCAGAGAAGGTTTGAAAGGTAGATAAATATGAAAATTCTCGGAATTACATAGAAAATAACAATTTTGTTTTCCCTTTGATGTCCCCCCCCGTTGGACTGATTCCTTTTGTTTGTTTTAAGTNAAATGAATTCCTGTTCGTTAGTCTCGCTAAAACTAGAGAACGGCTGGACCGATTGGGCTAATTTTGGTCTTGAATTATTTGTGGAAGTCCAGAGAAGGTTTGAAAGGTAGATAAATATGAAAATTCTCGGAATTACATAGAAAATAACAATTTTGTTTTCCCTTTGATGTCCCCCCCCGTTGGACTGATTCCTTTTGTTTGTTTTAAGTTTACAAAAGTTTAGGTCTATTATTTATCGATTGAGGCACTACGAAGTCTGCCGGGTCAGCTAGTTATTAATATTTATAAAGAACAATCCAATATCCTAAAAGTTTTAAAGCAATGTCTAAAATTCGCGAGAGCCTCGAGTGTAGAGATACCATCGTGCGTCAGTCAGTTCGACCGGGTCTGACCAATTATACCTGAACTTGCAGGAAGCAACTCCTCAACGGCTCCCTTCTGATAGAGAGCATGACAGCGTCCTTGGCGGGCCAGTACCAGTGTGTGGCCACCGTGGACGGTATCGGTACCATCGTCTCAAGAGCCGCCACCGTGTTCTTAGCTGGTAAGGGATTTTTGTTATATATTCATCATTAGTACAGATTCTGACCCACACTTTGAATTGTTTTAGAAATAATGATTTTGGCATTCATCGATCTATTCAAAAATTATAAAGTAGATACTAGTTTTATTATTTATTGTCATTATTATTAGGGAATCCAACACTCATATAAATATTAGCATATCCATTAAGTACATGTATTTCTACATGGTTACCAAGTTTCAAGTCAATCGGATGCATGGTTCAGTAGTTATAACAAAACATCGGTAAAAACCGCTGTAGACTTATATATTAGTATAGATAGGCTGGCCTATCTGATGTTAAGTGTTAACTCGTCTAAAAGCTATGATGACGCGGATTTTACAGGTCATATACGCTCATAGGTATGTCCTTAGCTCGAGTGCGCACTGGATGGTACACGATGCGAACTACTCCAATGTTCACATCTTTTATTTATCACTTGCAAAATTAAGAAATGGAATTTTGGAATATTTCGTAAAGTTATTTAGGTCCGATTTATAGTTGTACAATACTAGTATTAGTAGTATTAATCACCTTTTTATTTTATATCACTATCGAGTCATGGGTTGTTTAATGGTAGCAACTTGTTTGATTGTTATTTTACTGTTGGTTTCCTAAATCAATAAAGAAAATCAAATCAAATTGATGAATGAATAAAGAAATAAGTAGAATGACGGTCCCCAGCCGTCAGCACGCAGCATGCGGTGCTGTCCAATCCAACCCAACGTAAAGGTACAATAATTAAATTCATGTAGATTGTAAAGCTCTACGGTAACCATGCAAACGTTTCATGGTTATGATGGTTATGGTGTTCTCTTCATTGACAGAGGTGCCAGTGTTGTCGGGCACCCCGCGCAGCGTGCTGTCCGCGGTGGGGGGCGTGGCGCTGCTGCCGTGCGGGATACAGGCCCCGCCGAGACTGGCCCTCAGAGTCGTGCCCGCCGCCAACACCGACAGGAGGGCGTACGGCGCCGCCAAGCTACTCAACACTCCGCCCCTCCTCAAACTCAATGTAAGTGATTCATACAGGATCCGAAGGTCAAGAGATAGGAACGAACATTGAACAACAACCTAACGGTTGGCAGCGGCCTGGCATTGCTGAAGTCCATGGGCAACGGTAATCACTCACCGTCAGGTGGGCTTGTACACTCGTCTGCCTACAAGGCCAATAAAAAAAAAACATTGACAATTTATACAACAGAACCCGAGGAAATCATTCTTACGACCCTTCTTATTTCACATTGCCTATAATAAACAGCATCATAGTCGGTTACTCTTGGCAGAGCAGTCGTGGTTATATGCAATCCTTGCTTATTATAATATAACTAGCTGAGCCGGCAGACTTCGTAGTGCCTCAATCGATAAATAAAAGACAAAAGGAATCCGTCCGACGGGGGACACATCAAAGGGAAAACAAAATTGTTATTTTTATTTAATTCCGAACATTTTCATATTTATCTAAACCTTTTAAATCTTCTCCGGACTTCCACAAATAATTCAAGACCAAAATTAGCTAAATCGGTCCAGCCGTTCTCGAGTTTTAGCGAGACTAACGAACAGCAATTCATTTTTATATATATAGATAGATAATACTTTATATAAAAACACTTGGTGAAGACAATATGGAATGTCCAACAACTGATCTAAAACAATGAACGATACGTTTTATCACAAGTGCCACAATACTAGTAAACTTGCGGCTAGACGCACTAACCATGACCGGTCTCTAGGTGACCTGGTTAAAGAACGGCTCCCCGGTCCGCACGGAGAGCGCCCGCGTCTCCATCACGCCCAGCGGAGCCTTGGAGATAGAGCCGCTGCGGCACCACGACGCCGCCTCCTACAGATGTCGTGTTTCTATCACACCTCATCTATATCGGTAAGCAATATCAGCATACTGATCTCCCTGTTTAATAATGTGACTCCTGTCTTCTCGAGCCACTTTTCTTTTCCTACCTAAGCTGATAGCCTTGAGAGGCTATATCAGCGTAACTTTAACTAGTAGGTGAGCTGACGGGGTTCACACCTGACGACGCTGCTAACACGAACCCTAGCAAGAGTCGTGCTTCGCAGAATCTACCACCGGATCGGAAACGCGACCCACTGAGAAGATTCTAGCCACCTACTTCGCCATTATCTATAGTAGTAGTAGTAGTAGTAGTATTTCCTATCGAATAGTATCGGTAGTATGTTCGGAAACCTATTTCTAAAGCAAGACGATCACGTTTTCGCATCACCGAGGACGCTTGTGTGTGTGTAGCACCGAGGGTTCTTACACACACTTCAATTAGTCCGTCATGTAATTATGGTTATCCTCAAGGCGTTTGTATCATATTACTGTACATATATAACGGGTTCGCCGAAAGTTCTTAGAGGTCTTTGAGGAATCTTTGAGGAACATTCAGGTTGGGGAAGGGGGGTTAGGGAAGACTGAAGTCCTTTTTTGTTGGCGTTTATAAAATATGACTTCACTAGCGACCCGCCCTCGCTTCGCTTCGGAAACTGTAACTTATTATTGATTTCTCCACTATTTAATGAATGTTATTATAAATATAAACCTTCCTCTTCAATCACTCTATCTATTAAAAAAACCGCATCAAAATCCATTGTGTAGTTTTAAAGATTTAAGCATACATAGGGACAGAGAGATGTAGGGACAGAGAAAGCGACTTTGTTTTATACTATGTAGTGATAATGAGTTGATTTAATTCTGTATCTACAGGGTAAGCGATGAGATAGAGCTACGCGTGAGTGCTGACACTCCCAACACGGAGGCGGCCCCCAGGTTCGTCGCGATGCCGCAATCCCTCACTGTCATGGAAGGTCAGGAAATATACACGTAGTACTGGTTGCTGGTAGGCAATGATACAACAGACATTTTATTAGGGAACTCATTCGATCTCATGTTTAAGGTAATTCATGTAAGTGTCCATGGGCAAGTGCTGAGCACTAAGTGCAGTACGAGACTGCTCGGTCAACTTCTGATATAAATAAATAAAACCTTCTTCAACCCGTGTCCTCGTAATGCTGGGTGTAGGTCTCTTAAAATGCACTCAATTTTTTTAATTCTATTTCTCCATCAATACATAAAATAGTCGACCACAAGTACCAAGTTGAATGAGTGCTCCCGTTAAGAGTGAACGCTGGACACATGGTATCTCAACCATACACCGGTACAGCAATAAACATGATTCAACCTTAAGAAGCGAGAACCTAGGTTCCATATAACTGGCCAATTGTACTCCACCCCTGATCGAGACCGCCCCAGTAACAATCGCGGTTGTCGCAGGCGGCTCCGCGACGCTGGACTGCGCCGCCATCGGGAACCCTAAACCAGAGATCATTTGGCTCAACAACGGAGTCGCTATCGACTTGAGGTGTGTTGCACTATCTCCAACTGCTTTTTATTATCTTTATCTTCGTTAACATAAATTAATACTAAATAAAAAATTATTTGTTTATTCAAATTAACTCTACTGGTGGTAGAACCTCTTGTGAGTCCGCGTGGGTAGATACCACCACCGCGCCTATTTCTGCTGTGAAGCAGTAATGCGTTTCGGTTTGAAGGGTGGGGCAGTCGTTGTAACTATACTTGAGATCTTAGAATTTGTATCTTAAGATGGGTGGCGCATTTTCGTCGTAGATGTCTATGGGCTCCAGTAACCACTTAACACCAGGTGGGCTGTGAGCTCGTTCACCCATAGCAAGCAATAAAAAAAAACTCTGCATTTACTATTTAATACTGATTTTGGCATGCTTGTTATTAATTTTGTCTTAACTTAAATGAAATTGATTAAAATAATTAGAAATAGTTGGAAGGGTTGATATGGATGTCCATTGGTTGCGCGCAGCGACCTGGACTCGCGGCTGTACCTGGTGGGGTCGGGCTCGCTGCGGCTGCGGGCGGCGCGCGCGGGGGACGCCGGCGCCTACACGTGCCGCGCCCACAGCCGCCTCGACTCCAGCGACCACACCGCGCACCTGCACGTGCTGGTCGGTACACACGCGCCCTACACACATAAACTGTCTTATCCATGTTTATCCGTCTTTGCACCTTAAAATGAAACTGATAATCTAAGGAAACTCGATAGAAGAGTATTTAAATTTTAATGAAAGTGGCACCTGTGACAGAGAAGCTTAGAAGTGCGCGTTTGGGATGGCATGGACATGTGATGAGACGAAATGAAAATGAGGTTGGTAAAAAAATGTTAACTATGAATGTGGAAGGATATAGAGGAAGAGGTAGACCTAAGAAGAAATGGATGGATTGCGTGACAGACGATATGGGTAAGAGGGGAGTGAGCGAAGAAATGGTATATGATACAAGAGTATGGAAGGAGAAAACATGTTGCGCCGACCCCGGGTGACTGGGAGAAGGGCAGGATAATGATGATTGTAACTGTTTTATTGTTGGTCATTGTAGGGACACAGCTTAGTGGCGCATGCGGATTTGTACCTACATCGCTTGCATTGGTCAGTCGTACATAGCCCACCCGACACGTTAGACACTTGTGACAATATACGGAGAGTAAATAGGAACTAACTTGTTTTATTAATAAAGGGCAGTTAACACCCTTTACATTGCATCAGTAATCGTACAGTTATCCTTCTTTGCACCTTAAAATGAAAGTGATAATCTAAGGAAACTCCACAGAAGACCATTTCAATTTTAATGACCACATTGTGCTATCGTAAGTTAAGTCGTACTTTAGTAGTATACAGTCATATTCGCACCAGTTGTGTATCCGTATATCCTGTCCGTGTCTAGGAGCTCGTCGGACTCCGCGAGTACACTGTGGTCACGCACATTTCTCAGAGTTCGAATTTGTAAATGACCACGGGCGCGTGACCAAGTATCCGAGTGTCTGGACCAGAGACTGAGCCAAGCATTTCACTGTGCCACTGACCGACAAAAGTGGCTACATATTACAAAAAAAACAAAATGTGTGCAATTCACACGTGGTAGAAGTGAAACCTTCCAAAATTAAAATACAATTATCCTAAACGTCTTAAGTATATGTAAAATTTTGTCATTAGTAAATAATTGTAAGGTAGCGCCCTCTGTGAATTGATATTTTAATTTCACGTATAATCCTAAATTAAAATTCACTACAAGAGCTTTCATACACACGTTAGTATTAAAAAATCTCACAGATGGCGCTGTATTAAATAGTATGTATATTTCTGTCTCATTCTTTGCTGGCTTCATCCTACACATTTTTGTATTTGTGTCTCTTACCTGTCGTTTTTTCCGTTGCATCCGGTTTGAAATCACAACGATTCTAAAGAAGTTTTCACTTCAAAAATGTCGCAGGCGGACGCATCACGATGATCAGCCATGAGCGATCGACTGAAAGAAGAGGAGGAATCACTGATATATAACGTCTCAATTATTCATTGATGTCTGTAGCGGCATTAGGTTTTCCGCACTTGAAATTTCTATTGAATTTTGTGGACTTAAGATTTCAATGAAATTAATGAATGCGTTTTTTGAGAAACTAGTTGACGTGTGTATCTCTGATTCTGTAATGATATAGTTTTTAAGGATAGTGTCAGGGAACAATATTCTGAACCAATTGCAAGCGCACAGGTTTCTGACGTCACTCACAGCTCGATAATTCTGTTGGTGGCGAAAATTTAATATAGATATAATGTATTATTTTATATTTACATCAAAATACACTTTAGCTTAGTAAAACTATAGCACAAATTGAGTTGCTCTATAAAGAGAAACAACATTTAAAGCTATTGTTTCACCACTTTTTATGTTCTTTTATATTTCAATCTTCATAAAATGTTTTAATATTTCTAATGTTCCTTGTTCTATTATTTCAATTTTCTAAATTCAATTTAGGTCATCTTTATAACATATTAACCTCTTTTAAGATAAATCGTATAGAGGCTTCGATCAATAATAGTACTAGATTAAGGATCAGGAACAAAAATAAGACGCTCCAGTGGCCACGTTTGCAGCTACGAAAACATCTTCATTTCTTAGAAAAAAGTTTAATAATGTTAACGACTTCAGTTTATTATAAACCTTAAATCTTAAACACAAAGTTTAATTACCATTGCAAAATATATGTATTTAGGTCCTTTCGTCAGAAAAAGAATATTATGGAATAAATTTAAAATGTCACTTGAACATAAAAAGTCATCAGTACAAAAATATTTATTCTAAAATGATACTTAAAGCCTAATTTATAAGGTTAAAAATATTTGTTTAAAATTTCGTGCTTATTGTATTGTGGAACTAGATGTAGTTCTTGGTATTACATTTCAATGCTCAGAACACAGTAAGTATTGAAAGACATAGAGTTGCAGAATATACATATTTGTTTTAGGTTTGTTTTGTATGGTCGCAACTATTTTTGACCGATTCAAAAAAGTAGTAGATAATATTTTACATTGCCGCTATTACAACAAATAGGTGATAAAAAATAAAATTGAATAAAGTAAAAAAAATATGAAAGGAAACACGAAACATGTTTTCCACGTATTCTTTATACAGAAGTAATTAAAACAATAATGTAGGTTTAATTACCTTTAAACAGATTCAGTTTGTTATAAAGCTGTCTTTTAGAAGTCATTTTTATATGAGCGGTTTCTTTTTTACAAATATAATGTAATCTTATATCAATGAATTTTTCTATAATCAGTTTAATTTAGGCTTATTTTATGGCTGTGTTCGTTTCCCCCAGAAAACAAATCCTTTTCAGCATATACGCTTAAAATATTTACACATACATATAAAGTTTTTTTAATACTTTTTTGCATTGATTTGCCACCACCATTGAACAATTCTAGAATTTTTATAAGAGTTCTATATTTCTTCTCCTCTTTCTTTCGCGACAATATATATCCATTGTGCACAGCGACAAGGGGCTACTAGGAAATCTACAAACAAAAATAACATTATAAAATAACAAAACTACTCTATGCATTCCCTGTCCAAGAATAGGTGATGTTTGTTACAATAGTTGGTGCCTTGTTGCAAACATTGGCCAAACAATTACAATATTCGTAAATTGTGTTTTATTTACAATATAATTGTGTTTATTATTTTATGAAAAACACTTAATAATATAAATTTACCAAAAAAAGATATTCCTTCCAAAACCTTGGTGTTACGGTGGTTTTTTACTCAGTTTTTGAACGCGCATTGCAGCGTTTTGACGTCTTAGTGTTGGCTATGATTGGACCATACTAATTTGAAATAAGACCACAAATTTATTTGTGGTCTTATTTTTCGGGCCGTTTTTGAAGCGCTAATCGCGAATCTAGTAGTATTATTGATCGAAGTATAGAGGTTACATAAATACAATAATTCCAAGGATCTATATCCTCAGCATGGCAGATGCGTGAACAATGTCGTATAAATAGTGGTTGTAATGAACCCAGACCCCGCCCCGGGTGTGGCTGCCGAGCGGCGCGGTGGGGGCGGCGCGGGCGCGCGGTGACGTCACGCTGCGGTGTGACGTCAGAGGGCGGCCGGCGCCCGCCGTGGCCTGGCTCAAGGACGGAGACCTGCTGACGCCGAACAACCACGACATAGCGCTCTTGGACGGGTCAGTACAGACTCTACTAAACATTTCCTTAAAGAAACTGAGTTAGATTTTTTTTATTGCCCTTCTAGGCAGACGAGCATACCACCTGATGGTGAGTGGATACCGTCGCCCGTGGACTTAAGCAATGCCAGGGGCAGAGCCAAACCCCTGCCTACCGCAAAATGCTTACCTTAGATGGATATAATCTGCAAAATGTTATTTACTTGTCACTTTAATAAAGTCGTCGTGGCCTAACGGATAAGACGTCCGGTGCATTCTTGTTGAAGCGATGCACCGGTGTTCGAATCCCGCAGGCGGGTACCAATTTNGTTACCGTCGCCCGTGGACTTAAGCAATGCCAGGGGCAGAGCCAAACCCCTGCCTACCGCAAAATGCTTACCTTAGATGGATATAATCTGCAAAATGTTATTTACTTGTCACTTTAATAAAGTCGTCGTGGCCTAACGGATAAGACGTCCGGTGCATTCTTGTTGAAGCGATGCACCGGTGTTCGAATCCCGCAGGCGGGTACCAATTTTTCTAATGAAATACGTACTCAACAAATGTTCACGATTGACTTCCACGGTGAAGGAATAACATCGTGTAATAAAAATCAAACCCGAAAAATTATAATTTGCGTTATTACTGGTGGTTGGACCTCTTGTGAGTCCGCACGGGTATGTACCATCACCCTGCCTATTTCTGCCGTGATGCAGTAATGCGTTTCGGTTTGAAGGATGGGGCAGCCGTTGTAACTATACTTGAGACCTTAGAACTTATATCTCAAGGTGGGTGACGCATTTAAGTTGTAGATGTCTATGGGCTCCAGTAACCGATTAACACCAGGTGGGCTGTGAGCTCGTCCACCTATCTAAGCAATAGAAAAAAGAATGTTTGTTCTGCCCAATGCAAGTACAATATCTAACTCCGCACAGATCGTCTCTTCGCATACAAGGCGTGCTGAATGTAGACTCTGGCATGTTCCAATGCTTCGCGACCTCCTCCGCCGGGTCGGCCACCGGCTCCCTGCGACTCGTGGTGCTGCCCCCGGACGACGGTCAGTTAAATATTTAGCTAAGATTCAACAGTTTCAATTTATTTTGCACATTTGAAAATTCAGCCATCAGTGACTTACTTCAATTTTAAAAGTCATGATATCATTTTCGTAACAACCATTCTATAATTATGTGTTTTCACACATTAATCAGTATATCTCATCATAAGTTCTCATCCATATGGCTGACATCTGGTTTCAGTTTATATATTAGTTAAATGATAAGTATATATATACTACATGGGTAGAATCGTGTTCATTAAACTGTCCATAAAAGAACAAAACTATTCGGTCCATTGGATTAGTCTTGTATCAAAGATGTGACATTCCATTTAATTAACTAGGGCTTAAACTGTGTATATTGTGCTTAACTATTTCGTGCTTTGACTGTTACTTGTTTACATCTTAAGGGATCACTCATTAATTATGTATTTGGTTTCAGACCTCTACATTATTATTATTTTATTTCGGGAGAGGAAGTAGAGTAAAACCTATTCTTACGTAATGTTGTACAATTAGCAATATGCGTTAGTATGAACGAAAAGCTTATGTTTATAAACTAAAAATCTTCATTGTTTGTCAAATTATGAATATTATTATAGTAGTGTGTATTATTATTAGTGTATGATATCCTACTAAACATAAGCCCTGGATAACATTTTACGTAAGGAGAGGTAAGGAGATAAGAGTCTTATGTGACCTTGGATCAAGAGTAATCAAAACAGCTAAAATCGTCTTCACGTAATTAATAATGGGTCACTAAACTTAAAATCAGTGTCATATTTATGATATATTTACAAAAAAATACTTTATAACTACCATTTTTCACTGTCATATCATAGTTTCTCCATTCATTTTCATTTCCAGAATTCACTCCCAAACGTTCACAGGCACCACTAACCACAAGCATATCGTCTCGATACGATAACACAAATTCGACTCAGGATATCTTCAACAGTTTGGTTTCTTCAGATCCTTCACAGGATTTCGATTCAAACTTCCCCGAGGATGTCGATGACCCCGATTTTTTGGGTGAAACATCCTCGGCCTACACACTGACCCCCGAATTGAAATTATATGGAACTCCGGACCCAGATCTAATCGAAAATTCTTTACACGCTGCTAAAGGAATGGATCTCGATTTGCTTAAAAAGGGCAACGCGAGTATAGTCTCTCCGCCGAGGGCGTTAAGGGCGGTTATCGTGAAACATAGATTTGTGACCCTGAGTTGGGATGAACCGGAACGCAATAGCGGGGACGTGGTCGGGTACGCAGTCATGTACAGGGTTAAGGGGAGCGAAAGGTTAGTACTTAGCGATATACAAATCAGTTAGTCTTATAATCTCACATTTAGTAGATACGCCTCAGTAGAGCTGGTAAGTGTGGGAATAAGTCGTAATTGTATGGCCTGCCTTGCCATCATTCACAGACATCGGTCAAGCCATACGCATCCGCACTGCCGAGTTGTTACAAATATATTTTCTCCTCGAAACCATTTCAACAGGGATTTCCTATTTTAAAGAAAGTAATATAAACTATAATACTGGATAATCCCAAATGAAGCAGTTTTATGAGATTAAAAGTGTCAACAACCAATTGCATATACCCTTCGTAAAATAAGAGAAATATTAAAACAGACGGAGTGCCGACTAAGTCGACGATGTCTGATTCCGCCAGTTGACATGTTAATATTAATCTCAACCTTTAAATTAGAGTGAACCATATTTTATCTCTTAGTGCTACAGTATAGTAATTATTCCAGAGAGCGAATATCCCGCGGAGGAGCACAGAAACATGAGATGAACATAGCGTCACTACAACCGAACACGACCTATCAATTCGCGGTGGTCGCGTACACCGCGGGCGGGGCCTCGCCCCCCACCCAGGCAAGTCCACTCCACTCCACTTCTGTCTAGTTCTTCACATCTTGATATTCAGTCTCTGCTTTCATCGAGTAGTTTAAAACAAAACCTCATATTAGTATGTGTGTATATAAAATATTCGTTGATCTCTATTGATTCAATTAAATTTATTTTAATTGCAAACGGATATACATTTGACTTAATATTACTGTATTTAATAATCCTAATTGCCTTTAAATTATGAAAAACGTACTAAGCCGCTATCGAAGGAATTCCCGGTAACAGACTAACTTTGAGGTGCCATACGACAAACAATGGTGCCATACTTAATTCGGACATGTAGTCTGAGGTCACTGCATCAGCGCACTAGAGCCGGTAGCGGTCGTAGAAGATGCATTATACATATCTATTAAGAACAACCACATGGCGAACGAGGAATTAGACTTTTGTTTAGCTAAAAACAAGTCCTAAATCCATTATTGCAGATCATAGAAGTACACACTCCCGGGGAAGAGTTAACATTCGGACCTCCGCTGTCGGTGACCGCTGAGGCCACCGGTCCCCACTCCGTGCGGGTGGCGTGGTCTCCCCCCGTGGCCCTGTCTCCTCCTGACAACTACACGCTGCTCTACACCGAAGTAAGTAACGGCCCACTTCTGTAGCGTAACACTGTCTCTGGTTGAATAGCAGAAGAATGTTAGAGTTGGTTTTTTTTATTGCTTAGATTGGTATACGGGCTCACAGCCCACCTGGTGTTAAGTGGTTACTAAAACCCATAGACATCTACAACGTAAATGCGCCACCCAGCTTGAGATATAAGTTCTTAGGTCTCAGTATAGTTACAACGGCTGCCCCGCCCTTCAAACCGAAACGCATTACTGCTTCACGGCAGAAATAGGTGGGGTAGTGGTACCTACCCGTGCGGACTCACAAGAGGTCCTAACACCAGTAATTACGCAAATTATAATTTTGCGGGTTTGATTACTACCGACGGGCACCTTTTCATTTTGGCTTATACGAGTTCCAATATTCTATCAACATGATGTAGTCCGTGAGCTCAATTCCTCAACTCCCTTCAGGTGGACACAGGTCGTGAACAGTATCAGCTAGTTGAGGCGCCCCAGTCACAGCGGATCACGGCCACCATATCCGGGCTCAGGGCCGCGACCCAGTACTCCATTCAAGTGTCGGCGGCGGGCGGCGAGGCAGCCCCGGGGGTCACGGTGCACACCAGGGCCGACGCCCCCTCGGCGCCACCCGGGAACGTAACTGCCGTGTCCACGGGCTCCACGGTGAGTTCACGGGCTCCGACAACACTGCTAGTCATTACTAGTTTAAGTATAAATGGGCAATGATAAACCAGTTAGGTACGATTTTATCGTCTGTTTGTTTTTGAAAATAGTTGCTTTTATAAAAGCTTATGCTTTGCTTTTATAAAATGGCAGAACCTTTTTTTTTTTTTTCGGGCCGGGGGCCGAATCTCCTACGAGGTCCCGGCGCATAAGGGGCGCGCGGGGTATGTGAGACTCAACGATCTGCAGGTGTTCTGCAGGAAAAGGAAGAAGGGCGCGCCCCTGACTGAGCCTTTGCTACTTCACCTGTCCTGGTGAAACTGGAAAGGTTTCCGGGGCACCAGTAACCCTTAAATAATAAAAAATGGAAGAGGGGACCAAACGAATTAGATTTAATTATTTAAATGCTATACGATGCAATAGGAAACATCAGTTAGTGTTGCTTTGACTTGAACGAAGAAACATCTAATTCAAACTGAAAAAATATATTCATAATGTTCACTCATAGAACCTGTGCAGTTGATGTTAAATCGAGTCTGTCTCCAGTCGATCGTAGTCCGATGGGACGCTCCCCCCTCCCGCTCCCACCGCGGCCCCCTGACCGGCTACAAGGTGCGGTACCGCCCCCTCCCCGCCGCACTGCCCGGGGGAGGGGGGAGCAGGAGGAAAGCAGACTCGCTCACCACTCCCGCCGACACCAGGAGAGCTGAACTTAGAGACCTTGATCCTTCCACTACATATCAAGTGAGTTATCTCGAACATTTCAACTTGTACATAAGCCGACGCTGACAGCAAGGAGCTTACATTCAATCACCACCACGCACGCTGCGGCCGTGTCTACTTCCAGCGACAGACACGACTGTTCCTTGAACCGCGGCGAATATTTAACTTATTCACCGTGTAAGTTGTACCACTAGATTTTAATTATGAAAAGAACAAAATGCTACAAAGCAACAAGCAGCAGGTGCGGGACGTTTGGCAGTAACTATCGCCGTACCATGTGGCCGCCAGGTGTTGCTAGCCGCGCTGGCACCTGGGTCAGATGTAGCCTCACAGTTATCAATGTGTCCACAAACAACAATGATCTGTAATAAGATGTCCGCCCCCCCCGCAGATCCGCGTGTGCGCCATCAACGCCAACGGGTCCGGCCCCTTCAGCGAGTGGGTGTCGGCGGGGACCGGCGCCGCCGCACGCGACGACCTCGCCGTGCCCGCGCAGCCCCCGCCGCTCACCAGTACGTGGCGACCCTACAGCCCCCCCCTGTCTTATAGCCCTACAAACCGGAACGTGCTTCGTGGCAGACACGGACAGGACGGTGGCTTTTTACGGATAACACTGATCCTGATACACGTTGTTATTGCTCCACAGTGATATCAGACAGACAATGCTATCAAATCTTTTAATATATCGATCTTTTTAAATCTTTAAAATAAAATTAGATATTGTTGTTATCAGCTCGCGCGGGTCGCGACTGGATCTCTGTGTGGTGGGAGGGGGGCGGCGCGGTGGGGGGCTACGTGCTGGGGTGGGGGGTGGGGGTGCCGGACGTCCGGACCAGAGACCTGCCGCCGCATCTTCACTCATACGTCATCAGGGAACTCGGTAACTACATTTTGATACCGCGGATAATACATGAATCTTAATTAAATATTAATTTTTACTATTTGTTTCCGAAGCTCAATTGGTACAAGCACTTCGTTTTCTATTTTTAGTATTACATGTTTATATTCTATATGTTGCCATTTTAAATTATTAAATTATAGTAATATTCATCATTTTTACTATGTGCAATATTACAACAGAACCAAACTCAGAGTACGTGATATCTCTCCGCGCGAGTAACTCCCTGGGTCTCGGTCCCCCGGTGTACGCCACGGTCCGCACCCGGCCCCCCTCCCCCGACTACGGAGGGCTGGAGGGCGCGTTCGACGAGGGGGACGAGGACGAGGAGGACGACGAGGAGCCGGCGGAGAGCTCGCCGCTGATCCCTCCCGTGGGACTGAAGGTCATCATGCTGAGCGGGACCACGGCCGTCGTCTACTGGACCGACCCCACTCTACCCAAGGGACAGGTCGCTCGAACTGCCTTACTATACATACGGCCTCATTTATATAATATTATGTACGAAGAACAAAGTGACCGGTCACGTACATAAAGGAAGGAACCTTTACTAATATCACAAATATAACAAATGTGAAAGTTTGTATGTTTGAGTCTTAGTTAAATTCGAATTTGGATAAAATTTGTCACAAAGACAGTTTTTAATCTGTAGCAATCTGGCTCTACTACTGCATGATTAGGTACCTCAAACACCGGTCATCGTCCTCGTCGAATCCGTCGCTTAGGACGAAGGGCTCGACGAGCGAATTAACCCATAGACACAGCCCACTGAGTTTCTCGTCGGATCTTCTCAGTGGGTCGCGTTTCCGATCCGGAGGTAGATTCTGCGAAGCACGGCTCTTGCTAGGGTCAGTGTTAGCAACAACGTTAGGTTTGAGCCCCGTGAGCTCACCTCCACACGTAAGGGTGAAGCTGAAATAGCCTTTCAAGGCTATCAGCATAGGTAAAACTGCAGCATAGGTAAAACCGCTCACCTGGCCATAAGCGGGCACCGACACAACTGAGCTGGGTGGTATAGTAGTTGGTCTGTGGTCCCCAGGCGGCGACGGACGGGCGGCAGTACGTGGTGCGGTGGGGCAGCGCGGGGGGAGGGCGGCCGCGGACCTACAACGCCTCCGACCTCAACTGCATGCTGGACGACCTCAGGCCCTACACCACCTACGAGTTCGCCGTCAAGCTCATTAAAGGTCAGTAGTCGCTTCGTGGCCAAAATTTGTAAAAGATTCTTTCCATAACATCTTTAGAAATATACATTTATAGCATTGCTATTATTTGATTGCACGGTCAAGTAAATTTAATGATGATTAATAATATAAATGACTAGCTGACCCGGCAGACTTCGTAGTGCCTCAATCGATAAATAAAAGACCTAAACTTTTATATAGAATAAACTTAAAACAAACAAAAGGAATCCGTCCGACGGGGGACACGTCAAAGGGAAAACAAAATTGTTATTTTTATTTAATTCCGAGAATGTTCATATTTTTATACCTTTTAAACCTTCTCTGGACTTCCACAAATAATTCAAGACCAAAATTAGCCAAATCGGTCAAGCCGTTTTCATGTTATGTCGTGACAACGGAAAACGGGTTTCATTTTTATATATATAAATGATTATTTTTGTTTACTAAAGATCAAAGTTTGCCCGGATCGGTATTTAGTTATTAAATGTTTTTACCTTAAACTTAGGATATTAATTCATATATTATATTGTGACCATTCCAACATATGGCAAAAATCTTTTTGCACGGTCAACCACATCTATTTTAATGAGCCACAATTGGCCCTGGGCAGACAAGTCCCCAGCGGAGCCGGCTGCCCCTCGGGTCCGCGTGGCACTAAGTGATTTTCTTCTGTAAACGTAATCTGAAAGTAATATTAGCGAGTAGCCCGGCCGTGCCCCCAACCTTGTCGCTGTCTCTGAGCGACGATGATCCCTCGCCGTGAGCAGGCGGCGGGGGCGGACAGGTGCTTGTCAGTCTGCATGAGCATTTACATCCACCGCACGCGTACTATCATCCGTGCGGAGAATTCAACTCGAAGCTTTGCATTATTCCTAATGAACATTGTACACCTGGTTGCCATAGTCCATAGACATCGACTTGAATGCTGACACAGCCTTTGAGACAAGCTGCGTTACGGACAACTGTATGTTTGAGATCGTAACGTTGACGTGACCCGGGGCTGGGACCGTCCCGCGAGCAGCCCGGGGTCACAGTAGCTCGGTGTGCGCGCAGGAGGCCGCGAGTCCGCGTGGTCGATGCTGGTGAGCAACACGACGCTGGAGGCGCCGCCCGGCTCCCCGCCCCGCGACCCCCGCGCCGCCCCCGCCAGCCCCCCCGCGCGCGCCGCCGACGTCAGCTGGAGCCCCCCCGCCAAACCTAACGGGATCATCACAGGTCACTGTTCTCGATTAAACCAGTTTGTTGGTGATTTTTGTATAACATTACATTTTTATATTTAAATCAGCGGTCGAGGAACCGTTGTAAATTACCCCATGGGGAAAAATGACTTTTGGGGGGGGGGGGGGGAGAAACCGAAAAAAAGTCATTAAAATTAAAAAAAGGTTTTTTATGGGGGCTATGTATAAAATTTAAAGTAGTTTTTTCGTCTAATAATACAAGACAAGTATCATATGAATTATAAAATAACAAGTAATTATCATTTACTTATATTTTCTGTGATCTTTTTTCCTCAACTGTATATTACATAATATATTACTATTATTACCGTTATGTATTATATTACTAGGTATTACATTGATAAATTGAATAAATTATGTATAAATAATTTTTTTGTTATTGTTTTCTTTTCAAGATTATCAGGGGGGGGGGGCTATGAAAGATACTAAAAAGAAGCGATTTGTTTTTTTTTTTGTTCTTTGCCATGGGATAATATCAACGTACACAACAATATTTTGGGGTAATAATTAAAAAAGTTCTCAGACCGCTGATTTAGATGTTCATTCATGGTCTAGTCTTATACGAGATTCGAACCTCGGTACAGTGGTCGCCGTCACACAGACTGCTGTCTCGCGTCGTAACTAAACCGCGTACAGGGTGTGACTTTATGAAATATAAATCAATGTCAACGCCGTGTCAAATATTTTATGCTCTATTATAGCTACCGCCACAAACTATAAACATTGTATATTTATGTTTGTATGTGCATTTATCAGTTTGAAACTTCGTGCTCCTGGGATGTTGACCTCGTGCGTCTACAAATTAAATCCTCATTTATGCCCTGTCTACAACACAAGCCCCGCGTCATTGTGACCGGCATAATATCAACAGAAGTACTCTCTTTTTTCGTTATCGGTAACTGTTCCCTTCACCCTGCAACCCAATTACAGCATAAACACATCTTAACTGTACTAGTAAAAGTGCGGAGTCTCGCGAGCTCGCAGGGTAGCTACCATGGGGTGGAATTTAGGACCCTACCCACTAAATGACTCCCCTGCACTTGGGCTCGCGGTTTGCTCCCAACATCGTGCGTTTCCTAGGCATGGGGATCTCGTTGGAGGTTCGGCTCCCGGTCCAATAAAAAATAAGGGGTAGCTACAATCATCCTGTCTATTTCTGCTTACAAAAAACAGCGCCTTGTACTTTCTCTAGGCCATAAATGGGTAGTATGTTTGGCCTCACTCGTGCGGGCTTACAATACGTCCCACCACCGGTGTATTTGAATAAATAAAAACAATAAAACATAAAATCAATGAACAATATCAGATTTCTAGTCTTCTCATGATTTTGGGTGTTTTTGTACATAGGTTACGTAATAATGTACGCGGCCCAGAGTGCGGTGTCGGGCGGGGGGGCGGAGTGGATCGCGGTGGGGGTCACGGGGGACCGCGCCCGCGTGCGCCTGGACCGGCTGCGGCCCCGCACCACGTACAGCATCAAGCTGCAGGCCAGGAACAGCAAGGGACTGGGGCCCTTCTCGCAGACCATCACCTACACCACCGCTATGGGTACGACAACTAACTACATATTTTATATTACTTTTATTGGTCATAAAATAACATCGACCCCGGCCCCTTCGTGTCCGCGTGCAACCGGACTACTCCTGCGGACCGGGTAGTCCAGTGCGACTAGGTGCGAGAGAACGAGATAGGAGATCGATTAACGCGACCATATCGGGGAATAGTAATAACCATTGAATAACAGATAGAAGTTTATTTATTTATTACTTAGATGGGTGGACGAGCTCACAGCCCACCTGGTGTTAGATGGTTACTGGAACCCATAGATATCTACAACGTAAATGCGCTACCCACTTTGAGATATAAGTTCTAAGGTCTCAGTATAGTTACAACGGCTGCTCTACCCTTCAAATCGAAACACATTACTGCTTAACGGCAGGAATAGGCTGGTAGTTTTAGTGCGAACTCATTTAGTCAATCGTTAGTGGTACCGGCGCGGCGTCCCCGATGTGTAAGGAGGGCGGGGCGGGTCGTGTTGACGTAGCGCGTTGTGCAGAGACGGGGGAGGGCGGAGGGCTGGCGAGCGCCACGTCGGCGTGGCTGTGGGCGAGCGCGGGCGGCGCGTGCGCGGTGCTGGCCCTCGCCGCCGCGCTGGCGCTGTCGCTGTGCTGTCGCCGCTCGCAGCCGCCGCTGTCCCCGGACACCAGGTGACGCACGCACTAAACCGTTCCACGTCCTTACGGATCCAACAGATCCAATAACCTTTGCGTTCGACGCCTTCAACTCTAACACTACGAGCAGGCTTAGGGACCCCGGTAACCGTACTTGTCGAACTCCGTAAAGAGGTCGACGTGCAACCTAATCCATGAATCAGCCCGCTGAGTTTCTCGCCAGATCTTCTCAGCGAGTCGCGATTCCGACCCGATATTAGGTTCATTCGCGAAGCAGCTGCTCTTGAGTTGTTAGGTTAGGTTAGGAGGAGGTCGGAGGCGCTCGGGCAGCTGTTCAAATCCCACCCCTCCTGGCTGAGCCTTTGCTCGCCCACTTGTCCTGGTGAAACTGGAAACGCCTCTTTAAAAGCCTCCAGAGGTTTTTATCGTTGTATCCTAGTAGATTCTTATTATAAGAGTACATTGTCCATAACTTATCGACAACAGAAGAACACGTAGCCCTCCAAGGTAAGCGCTCGCCGTCGCCCATACAGCCGGGTGATGCCAGATAAACCTCGCTCGGAAAAGGACATTAAAGGATTATCTCAAACGATACATAACTCAGCGGTCCCTTCGCAGACCCAGAGGCTTCAACCTACAAACTGGACCCCAAGTACACGTCATCAACTGTTACATTATTTTGGGCAATTAAAAATGGCATGGTACATACAGAGTGATTATTTTTAAGACACACTGAGCACCCGCAGACACGGTGAGCACACGTACGTCGTCTAGGACGCGACGCCAGGGCTTCGAAGCCAGGATATTACGTATTGTTACGAATGATACATAATATTTTCCTCAACTTGTAGTACGTATCAAAAGTCTTCTGCGTCGGCCGGCATCAAGCCCCCGGACCTGTGGATCCACCACGACCAGATGGAACTTAAGCACATGGATAAGGGCATACACGCGTCCGCCAGTAAGAGTAAGTGGCTCTCATGTCAGCTCTTTATCATTGACAAACAAAAAGTTTTGTAGCAAATTATAAAATAGATCAACACCAAAGTGTAGTTTCGAGATTTTAATTAATTACATGTTTCAATATTTAAAAAAGTCTACAATTGCTTAATTAGTCTAAAAGTTTAAAAAATCACTCCACTACTCCCCCCTTCCCCCAGTCTCGTCCGACAGCGTGGAGGGCTCGCTGTCCCTGCCCCGCTCGGCGCCGCGCCCCCCCGCCCCTCCCCCCGTGGAGTACGAGCCGGCGAGGGGGCTCCCCCCTCCCTCCTCGTTGGACCGCAGACACTACGTGCCCACCTATGTCGGTAAGTTAACGTTATACTGTAAGTCCGCAACCGTCCTCAACCTTTTCAGTGTCCCGGTCTGTAAGATAGTCCACAGCTTCCCGTGCCTCGTGTCCCGGCATCTCTCTTTTTTAACATTATCTAATTTTACATTGTCATTCCTTGATAATAATTCTTTACATTACAATTGTACTTAAAAAAAACCTGAGTTATTTTATCTGCTTCAAGTGGCTTCAACCGCTGATGTTGTCGCTTCCTTTCTGCATGTATCTCTCCCTCCGCTACTAAATATAGCGAGTGTCCGTGCGGCTCAGCACTGGCCCCCTGCATGTGACCACTGACCACTCAGACCACAGCAGTAGTGCGTAATATCACTTCATCCTCTTATTGTCTCTGGACCAGGTAGCAAGGACCAAATCACGAATGAATAGTTAAGGAATCTCAATTTTAAATGGAATGAGTGTGTATATGTGAGGAGATCAATTTTCTTATTTAAGTCGTTTTTATTTTGAATTTAATTTATTTTTGTTTGATTGCGTTTAATATTACATTATCCTATTTTTTGTTACTATTTATTTTATGATTTACATTGATTTATGTTTGCCCCGATTTTCCTTCCTGACCTCCCCCCCGGTCCCCCTCGGTCCCCCTGTCCCCGGCGCCCGGTGCAGAGAGTGGGGCTGCGTCGTGCACGAGCGGCAGTGAGGCGGCCTCCGTGAGCAGCTGCCGGAGGTGCGACCTCTGCGAGCTGTGCCAGCGTGAGTGCCGCGACCCCAACACTTGCTTAAACATCATTTTGTTGTGAAATATTTTTCAGTCAAAATTCAAAATTATGTTTACAAGATTAAGACGAAGAATTACCCCTCGAAAATCAAATAACATTAATTAATCGACCCCGAAAGTTCTCAAGCTTACCCCTTTACGATTAATTATATTTATTTTTATTTATTTTTGATATTTATTGATATTATTGATATTTATTTTATTTATTACGCTTCACGCTCATTATCGTACATTGACATACTTATTGCCTAATGTATTCTCTACCAGTTAACCAAGGGTGATGCAGTAAAGAACATAGTTGGAGCATTTAGACTAATTCCCGGAAAATAGATGATTTGATGATAGATGATATTATACTATATATTATGTTATTAAAGAGCAAATAATATCAAAAATACTATATGTACATAACGTTTATGAATTAAAATAAATAAATATTTAAATTAAATAAGTATAGCTAATACATACCTAAATCTTAAAGTTATTGTTTCTCGGGCGGCTGAGCGCTCTTCGATTATCACCATTGCCACTGTCAATGTCTGCAGTCTGTCTAGCTCCACCTGTTAGTACTACACAGCGCAGTCGATTTAAGATTTAAAACACAATTAGTCCGTGCACTGAGTTAATTCAAGCGTCAATAACCGGGTACAATTTGCTGGCAGCCATGACCGGGGTGGGGGCCGGGTGCACGGCGACGTGCGACCGGCGACAGCACCGCCCCCTGCCGGACCAGGTCAGTTCAAACTACACAACACCCAATACCATAGCGTCTTCAAATGCTGCTAGAAATTGTACAATTGATGTACGTTGTGTCCCCCCAGAGCACCCCGCTGGTGTCGGGCGTGGGGCCGCTGCTCTCCGCGCAGTCCTCGCTGGCGTCCCTGCAGCCGCCGCCGGCTCCATGTATGTATGCACGCGCTGGAGCATTCCCAGGGGGCACCCAGACTGGAGGGAAGATATGATCTGCCAGTTTGGGTGCAGTACATCAATCAATGAGGAGAGTTATTGACCAGGTTGTTGTTCGAGCAGGTGGTTCAGGCACGTGTCCGCTGGGCTCGGCGTGCACCGTGGTGGGGGGGGTCGGCGGGGGGCCGGCCCCGGGAGGAGGGGACATCTACGCGTCCGCCGCCCGGGAGCGCGGACACTACGTAGCCTACGAGCCGCTGGGACACTACACGCAGTAAGTGTACTCTACAAATGTATCATTATGAAATACTCTCTCGTATAAATAGGTACATAGAATGTTGAGACGAATATATAAAACTTGAAATGCAGTCATAAATGTAATATAATAAAATTAAAACAAAATCAATAAAACGTGAAACAAAAGCACGTTGGATTTAATCTTGCGCTTGGTCACAGGTGACGAAATTTTTGAATTCGTGATCATCAATACTCAGACCTAAGGAGACTTAGCAGCAAGGAGTGATTGTCACTCATAGCCATGCCCATGCTAAGGCCCATGATAAGGGCAAAAAAACACACCTATCCTCTATTGATGCAGAACGCGGAGTAACAAGCTGTTCTGAGCGCTACCGTGTGAAATGGGAATGGCGAACTAACCCCAACAATTTTTTCGTTATAATAAAACTTAATATTTAACTGTATGTACAGTAGGGACTCCATTAGCAGTGAGGCGCCTGGAGGGGGGTCGCTGCGGCGAGGAGCCGGAGGCAGCGTGGCGGGGCCCGTGGGGGGGCCGGGGGGCGTGGTGGGCAGCATTGGGGGGCCGGGGGGCCTGCACAGCTTCGCGCTCGACGCCACCTCGGAGCACTCTACACCTGCACACTCGCACTCCAGAGGTTTGTACTCTTTCAGAGGCTGATATTATTCAACCTTATTTTTTTCTTTTTTTTTAATAAATAAATAAATATTTACTAACAATCACGCCACGTTAACTGGTCCCGTGACAAGTTCGTAAAGAACTTGTGTTACAGGTACCAGATACCGGAAATAAATGTAAGATTTTTATTATGCACATACATATATTTAATATACATCCATAACCCTGGAAATTACATTTTATATTTATCATACAAATATTCTTCCTTTGGCGGGATTCGAATCCGCGACCCCCTTGTGTAGTGACCATGTCACTTACCACTACACCAGACGGTCGTTAAATTATTTGTCGCTCAATATTAAAAATATATATTTGAAAATCAATAAATTTTTGGTAAACACCTTCAACAAGCAAACTGTCCCCCCAAAACCCCCGGTCGTAGCTTACCGACCGGACGCAGCCGCACTTGCTTGAGTTTGTACAATGTTGTTGCTGCAGGCAGCGTGAGAGAGACGTCTCCGTACAAGAAGAGCGCGGGCTCCTCTCCCGGACACATCCCCAACCGCCTGCAGCTGGGTAAGTGATGCTGTACTGATTTGTGTTGAATGGCCTCACGATGGAGGACTGGCGCAGTTCCTCACTGAGGGGACGCGCGGGCTTGGGGCCGCCATGCCTATCGATGCTTAATAGTTTTTAGTTTTTATGTTTTTTTTTATTGCTTAAATGGGTGGACGAGCTCACAGCCCACCTGGTGTTAAGTGGTTACTGAAGCCCATAGACATCCACAACGTGTAAATGCGCCACCCACCCTGAGATATAAGTTCTAAGGTCTCGAGTATAGTTACAACGGCTGCCCCACCCTTCAAACCGAAACGCATTACCGCTTCACGGCAGAAACAGGCAGGGTGGTGGTACCTACCCGCACAGACTCACAAGAGGTCCTGCCACCAGTAAAAACTGTTGCTTATGTTAGTTTATATGCTCAATTGTAACACAACATATGTTAATAAGGAGGAAACGTGAGCCACTGTCCCGAGGAACTGGAGCCCCTGACCCCCTCGCGCTCCACCGAGAGGCTGAACCGGGAGATGCAGAACCTCGAGGGTCTGATGAAGGATCTGTCTGCCATCACCCAGCACCAGTTCCACTGCTAGTGCAGACCTCGCCGCTGTTACTGCGATGTATGTCCACACTGCGGCGATTACACTTGTTACTGACGGCCCCCCTACGCGGGGTCGCTTTATGGGGTGGGTCCCCGATGTATAGATGAGAGATCGGTCCCCCGAAACAAACACGTTGTTAAATGAGTCAAGTAATTAGTAAATTATTGTTGGGGTGATATGAGCGTTATAGTGCCCCCCCTCCCCGCCCCCCCGCAGCGCGTGTCGGTGTCCCGGCGTGAGTGTAGACAGTGCAGTGGTAATGTCGCGCGGGACACTTCACACGAACTACTAACAATATGTGGTACAGTGCGCCGGAGGATATAATGAGTGTTGCAGCTCGGACTACGGGAGGGGCTCCCCCCTGCGGGAGTGGGTGACGTCATCGCTCCAGGGATCTCTCTGTCTGTGAAATTACGTCACATAGGATATAAGTAAAGGATGTAAATCGTAACTTGATCTCCAAGTGTGAGACGTCCGCTTGAAGCTCAGCGTCGACGGTCCCTGCGGCCTATACCAGGGGGGACCGGCGCGACCCCTCGCGGGCACGTCCACCGGGCAACGAGCATGTTGAAGAAGCGGAGTCTCAACATTAAAATCTTTGTATTTTAATTAAAACTACTTCTTCAAAATACTAAAATTGTATTAGTGGGCTTAATGGATATGTTTGACGTGGAGAGGTCGCTCACTGCGAGAACACTCGAAGCGCACACGATATACGAGCACACAGGACTGTCGGTGCTGTCCGTAGTGGTGGTCAGTAGTGGCAGTATCTACACATATAAATAAAATTGGAGTGTCTGTTTGTAAATATTGAAATAACCGCTTTTTACTACATGCATATAAATATATACATATACGGTACTTATACCAAAATAACATTTTTTACAATTTTTGTCTGTTTGTTTGTTCCGGCTAATCTCTGGAACGGATGAACCGATTTTCACGAGACTCTCACTAATAGGTAGTTGATGATATAAGGAGTAACTTAGGCTACTTTTTTTAGACAAGCTTCGCCCCGCGGCGTCACCCGCGGTACGACAATAACTGCGGGTAACATCGCAGGACTCAGCTATGAATAATAAAATTTAATGTCTCCGAAGCGAAGCGAAGGCGGGTCGCTAGTTATAAATAATAATATCATTAAGTTAATTACAACACAAACACAGAACACTTTATTATAATTTTATAGAACTTATAACGAATTAAAACTATCCCAATTTAAGGTGTATAGTTTGTAATGATGTCGATGTAAGGTATAGTTCGATGATGCTATCCCGACTGAAGGACTGCCTCCTTTCTTGAAGCTTCGTGGTCGCCGGCGGAGTCTCTGCCGCTCCCCCCATGCCCCCCCCCGACCCACGAGGAGAACATATAGAGATGTGCGCGTTATAAACTGAATTATTTTCAAAGTTTTATTTATTATTTCTGTAACAAGTGGAGTTGGTGAGTGATGATCTCTTTACAGATCCCGTTTCATACAACTATTTATTAATTAAAGAATATTGTTTTTGAAGTGAAACTTCTTTAGGATCGTTGTGATTTGAAACTCGATGAAACGAAAAAATAAGACCATAGAGACACAAACACATAAATGTACAGGATTCAGCCGGCGAGAGAATGAGATAGAACACATCAGACGTTCTCGCTCTCCTCTTCGTAGCATCCCCACTGTCGTCTACTGAACATTGTCCATATATACGCTCCTGTGTAGTGGGATAGTCAGTATATTTATATCTTATTTATAAATTTCACTTCTACCGTGTGTGACTTGCACACACAGACACCCTTTTTTTTTTTAAACTACCATTAAAACCTTATCTCATTACTTGCTACGCTTATTAGTTGGTGAGCAGGTTCTCAGTTAGCTCAGACGAACGGGAAGGCCGAAATAAGTCGTCAGATTTCCTGACGTCAATGGGGGGGCGAGTGTACTCTGGCACCAGCGTCCTCGGGCGTTACCAACTCAACGTCTTGTACATATCGGTGAATACTATATATAAACTGCCGTGGACACGAGGGCCCGCCGCCGCCCGCTTAGACTAGGTCGGTACAGGGGACCATCATCTCTCGTGCTGTTTCATTTTACGAAAATGTCCTTGTTGGAGCACGTGCGGCGGAGCCCTCGGACGGAGACATTAACAATCACTCTTCTAATAGAGGCAGAATTGTTTTGAAAGAACTATCTGTAATACAAAAAATATAAAAAATGTAGATCACTTTGTAATAATTTAATACTTTATATACAATCGTGTCTTAAAGCTTCCCTTTTGAGAAACATTAAAAGTAATTCTCTCACCAATGAAATCGATACATTATGTACATAATAATATGTTAGTTCCGCGCGCGTCTTCCTATGGCCACCGCGACTACTGCGATAAACTGATATTTAATTAATAATTACATTCCTGCTGCACTGCTTCATCTTTATGTTTGTCTTGTTGCGCTCACGGATGCTCACAGACAAGTAGTTGGTGGTATATTAACATTGTCTAGTTGGTACTTGTACATTTTATAAAAAATAATAACATAATATGAAATAAAAGACTTGTATATAAATAAATTTAGATTACTTAATAAATTTAGTTATTTAACAAATTTTATAAAATAAATGAATGTTTAATAAACACCATTTTGACCTTTTATATTGTAAACTTTTTATTAAAATTTTATAAATACGTATATTAAATTAAAAAATAATTGAATAAAGTTAAAATAACTGCCATTAATATTAAGCCTAAATTAATGACTGATTTTTATTATTTGTATTTTTCAAATTTTACTACGTAATAGTATTATTATGATTGTTTATTGAAAGTAACAAAGTAACTTGCTCAAGCACACGGCACAGTCTCGCGGGCTCACTCGCCTGCAACTCCTTCAACTCTACTGTTAGTCATTATCTACATAATATCGAGGGCTGAAACACTGTTTTGCTTATGTAGCATCTTTGAAACTTCACAAGAGAGTCATTTGAAATTTAAAATTTGGAAAATATATCATAACAAAAAAAAACATCCTCAGCTATTCCAATGGAATAAACATAATTGTAGTTCTATTAAAAACATCGAACTGTTGATGCTAATATCAGATAAAACGCACTTTTAATTACAAAGGTAAATGTCAGGTAAGCGAAATGTACCTTAAACCCTTCGATATAACATTATCTATTTACACTTTTCATTTTCTTGGAACTGTGTGCTTAGTGCGAGTTTGTTAACGTTCTCGATAACGTAAAAGTTAGCTCATATTTGTATGGAATGGGAAAGTTTGCGTGCGTTTGCCGCTAGGGGCGCTGTTCCAACTGCATACAAAATTGAGTTAACTTTTACGCTATCGAGAACGTTAACAAACTCGCACTAAGCACACTGAACTCACAACGGTCACAATGAAAAGTGAATACGTCGTGTACATTGTCTGAAACAACTTCAATCCTTTTTCCTTTCAAGTGAAAACGACTGAATAAAACTCGCAGCCTTCTGTATAAGCGGCAGCGGGTTATCTTTGTATACAATATTACCTTAATATTGTATATTCAGATACAGGATTCAGATATAATTATTAAGCTATTGCATAGCTTTTATCGTGGGCCTTGAGCGCGACGACCGAATCATGAAATTCCGTAACGAAAAAAACCTAACACCCCTCACTCCGTCTACCATGTAGCGAGCTCAACACATTCACACGTTGCGCTTGTGTAATGTTTGTGAATAAGCGCGTGGCGTGACGTCACACTGCATGCGCATCATGAAAAGTCTGCCCATCTCTCTCTCGCGCGGTCTAGCTTATGAGTGTGAAGGGGACAGTTAAGGTTTTGCTTTTATTAATGTTTAATATAGCGTGGTCTTGTTTTATTATTGTTTTAATATTAAATTATCATTGTCTAATTACAATTGCATAAGTTGATAAAAAATGCTATGCAATAGCTTTAGCGCGGCAGTTCCCGAGTGCCCCACTTTTTTTTTTAATTATTGTTAAACTCTTGTACTACGGTACTCAATAGTCCAATATTCTCAACGGAGTTGTCCTCGTCGCTCGTTCCTTGCTCCTCAAACGTGTAAAAGGGACAACACGATAACGAAGGTCGCAGTAGAAACAAAATAACGAACCGTTTACTAATAGAGGATATGTACTGAAGAGTATTTAAACTTAAACGAATTGTAAGATAAAAACAAATTTTTGATAAAATATTTAATTGTATAAATATTTGTAAATTTACTGTTTATTCGTATTTATTAATTATTCAGCTTATTTTCCTTCGTAATTGTATAAAATGATGAAATGTATAAAAAAATATAAAATTTGATGAGAAAAATTAACTTAGCTAAGTAATAATGTTTGGCGGACGCCCCCTCCCCCGGGCGGGTCTGCGAGCCCTCAGTCGACGGTAATGCTGCAATTAGTAAATTAAAAATAGCACACCACTTCTTTCTTTTCTCATCAAATTTATTTACCACAAACTTGGTTTGGGAATAAACGATTGTAACGTGTAAATAATTGTTTAATACCGTATTTAATGTTTATTAGGCTGTAAGTAGGCGAACACCGACCAACAACGCACGTGCATTGATAGTATTGTGTAGTAAACACGGTCGCGACTTGCAACGGGACGGTCGGACACGTCCGCCCCGCTATCGCTTCTGGCTCATACCCGCTCGCAACGAAACCCCGAGCGAGTCAAAGGACAATGACCCGTCATCCCAAAGCTCTGATTAGCTAGATTGTTATTCTTTTATTAAATGTGACATGGCCGGTGGTGATCGACAACAGAAGTGCGGTTCGCAGATCAGAGTGAACGCTAAACGCTCGTGAAAATTAGCTATGATCGCGGCAGTTGTACAAAATAATAACAATCCGCGAGCGGGGAGCACGGAGCGGGGTGCGGGGAGCGCTCGTCCTCACTCGAGACGGCTCCAAGTACATACGAGCGATCTTTGTAAGATTAACAACGTATAATTTTCGATTGAGTCCCTTGACTCGAGCGATATGCGAGCGACACACAACTCGACACCGCCGCCGCCCCGTCAACTGACGTTTAGTATTCACACGTCACATGTCACATGTCACACGTCACGCGTCACACGTCACACGTCACGCGTCACGCGAGTGGCCGCGACTCGAGGGATCACCGTTTGCTTTCAAGTTGTGGTCGGCGCGCGGACGGTACGAACCTCCCTCTTGCACATTATTTAACAATAGCGTAACGATTATATTACAACTACCTGTTTTTGTGTATTCTTTACTTTTAGTTTTAAGCTAAATTAGAATGATTTCGTTTTGGGTCTTGTGATTTTGTAAGTTAGTTTTGGCGTAAACAAATATGGACATGTAGGTAGGTCCTCCGCTGGCGCCCGGCGCGACCGGCAGTCCGGCTCTTGTTGTTGCATATATCCGGGAGAAGGGCTCAGGGGTGTTGGGTCGTCACCAGAGTGCGCAGGCGTGGGGCGTGATGCTCTTGAGACGTGAGGTTTACATCTCAACTGTGTAGTCACTTTAACAACTTGCACATACGGTGCAATAACGTCACTTATGCAATTTTTTTATTTTATTAGGAGAAAAATTCAACATTTTATATAGTTCTGCTCGGCTATAGAAATAAAATTATAATATTTAAACTACAACTTTAAACTTCATCAGTAAAAACAAACATATCGCTCGTCTCACTGATAACTATTAAAAAAATTCTCATACTCAGTTCAGTGTTAAGTTGCTTATGTGACTTTACAGCACCGTATGTGCGAACTGTCCAAGCAACTATACAACTATATAGGCAGCTTTAGCGCACATACATCT